TMWWAWARTWRKWAKTWTKTYKTYTTTTTTTTTAATTTTACTCTATCARCATTCAAACTTCAGAAATAATGATTTAAATGTGTACTGAAATTTCCATCTGAAATTTCTCAGCCCAGCAAATACTTGGACTTGCATATTTTGGGCAGTTGTGCAAGTACATTGCAAGTACATTTCTTGTTGAAAGCATGAAGATATGGTGATTAATCCTGCCTCGAAGAACAGGCGCAAGAATAGATTTTTGCCTCAGTCTCTCTAGATCAGTGTTTTCTTTCCCTGAGCAGTGTAGTAAAAATTTGGGAACATAAAACAGGAACTGCAGTACTTATGGGAACAGAARAGATGTGGTGCTCATCTCAGTGCCAGTGAAAATACTTGCAGGAAGTACTTAAAATTATATTTTTTACTTAAGTTTTGTAGTGTTTCAGAGATGAATTGTTTGCAGAGCTTTGGCATTCAGATTTTCAGCACGAATTATTTTTCCGCGTAATTAAGTTTTCGTGAGTTGTAAGGTCAGGATCAGTCACTAATATGGAATAGGTCATTTGTCTGACCWAACTGAGGGACAGAGAAAGCATTTCTAAAAGCAAAAAAAGAAGATTAACTTTCYTGGTTATAATAATCTGTTTTGCATRTTATCTTTCAATGTGTRTACAGACAAAAATCCCACTGAAATAAATGTGCTCTCATTTTTATCTGCGGTGGAATTCCTAAAYGAGGATTGGGCACTGATTCTGGATACTTAATTTCAAAAGGACAGGTTGTACATGTACCTGTACTGAGAGCAGGTAGGCAWGTTTTCATGGACAGATGCTCTCAGGAGCAGTTGCTCTCAGCTCGTTCCATGAGGCTGTCTCTGGCYCTCTGCCATTGCCCAGTGTGTGCTCAGTAAGAACAGTTTCCTGATCAAATGGTCGGTTCCTCACACCCACCATATCAGCTGAGAGGGAAAATGACTGTTCCATGGCTGTCCTTGGTGGAGGGGGTCAACTGCACACCAAGGATTTTTGTGGTAACATTTCAGAACTGCTGTGGCCTGGTTTGAGAAGCAGCTTCACCAGGGAGATGGCWGGAGACAGGATTGTTAGGTGAAGGTCCAAGCATGAATCAGGGATGAATTCTGGCTCTGTTGGAGAAAATCAAAGAATGATCCTTGGCTCAGAGGAGTCAAGGTTTTGCTTAAGCTTTTTATGTTTTATTTAAYCTGCCCAAGTGGCATGGGAAAATTTGCCTTATGGGAAATCAAGTTTGCCATCTTTCATGTCACTGTATCCAGTATATGCATCACTGTGCATCAGAATATGCATCCTGACACTTTTGACAAAATTCAGATTACATGGATTGCTTACTGAAAGTCACAAAAAACCTTCAAGCTTAATTAGAATATAAATAGCACATGCATAACATAGAATGATGCAGAAGCTGAGGCTTTAAACTTAAGAAACCAAAAATTAATTTCAAATTTTGGAGATATATTTTGTAATGAACAACCTGCATGAAGGATAATTTTGATAGTAAATGTCCTGCTGAACAAAAAAGGTGAAATTCCAGAGAATTTAATTCTCTTTCAAAAATAGTTCTTTCAGTTATTTTTTCTTCTTACATTTGTTCTAATATGTGACAATAATTTAAAACTTATTTTAATGGAATATACTTTTAGGGTTAATATGTTAAAAACCTAATTTTGATGAAATGCTAATCTCCATATATTATTATGGAGAATAAATTTCTTAGTAGAAAGTTGGGTGGCTATAGTTATTTAAGGAGCCTTTTAGTCTCAGAGACTGGACCTTTTCTTTAGGAATGGTGTTTTAGTATAACTGTCTGACTCTGACATTATTTAACCAAAAACTAATAGGACCTTGCAGCTCATAGAACTGAAAGAATATAAATTTTATTAACCTGGCCTTGATTCACCTGTGCCTCAGTGTAGAAACAAGTCAGATACCAGCTCTGCTTGGTYGGACAGGAACATCAACCAAGATTTCCCTTCCCTTTGGCTCCCAGGATGCTACAGCCTACTGCAGATGATTTGTTCCCGTGTCAGTGCAGATGCCCTGCTCCAAGCTCCGTGCCTCTGCTTCCCCTGGGTGCYCTGCTCGTGCTGACGTTCACTCTGACCTCGCTTGTGCTCCTTGCAGCAATGTTCCCTGTGCTCAGACGGGCACAGTAAAAGCTGTGGAGGCAGAGAGGGAGAGCAATTCAGCTCAGTCTGTCACTCTAAGGTTGTTCTTTCCTTTTGTTGCCTGACAGGTATTACATACTCGAGYTTGTTCCATTTGTGRTTTCMAAGGYACAAATTTCTGTAGTGCCTCTCATMTAGTTTTGTTTTCCTGTTTCCTATGTAGCTCAATATTCCTTGAGGTCTCACTTTTCTCSTCTTGTCTTGGCAGTCACCTGGTTTAACCCTCTTGCATGGGTCTCTTGTCCCTTCTCAGCAGTTTCTATTTATGGGAAGGTTAATCACTTTGAAAATTCATGATTAACTCTGAAGGATATGTTCACAAAATCTATTTGAAAGTTCACATGATGGATAGCGAAATAATAGAAGTGAACAAGTG